AAAAGAAAAGAAAAGAAAAGAAAAGAAAAGAAAAGAAAAAAAGGGCTTATCTGCTGACTTTCCAAGTTTCACCAGGGCTACATTGAACTGCTGTAAAGTGGTACCTCTCTGCTGGAGCAGAATGTGAATGAAGGACATTCACTCTCAATTTTATGTAGCTGTGACTGCACACTGCAATTTAGGGTCATATATTGATGTGGTCTCTGCTTCCAGGCCACAGAGAGGCCTGCAAAGTATGAATGTTTTCTAAGAAATGCTTTTTTCCAAGCACTGAAAAATTGAGGTTTCAGTCCAGGACTGCACAAACATTAAGAAAGCATCCATCACCGTGGTTGGGTCTGAGTACTGGATGTGAAATGCTCAAGTTCACCCCAAACAGAACTGAACTGAGGTCAGTAAAAGCTGAAGTCCTTCGGGCACAGCTAAATTGTTTTTTAAAATATTTCATTTGCCAAGGCTGAAATTCCCTTGCCCGAGATTCTTAGCTACAATTCAACAATTCGAAGTTTCAGCAGTGACACCATTAACAGCCCACACAATAACTTTAGGGGTAGTCTTCAGGTTCTTTTTTTTCTTTTCCATTGTCAGGAAGAAGGCTGTATTCAAAAAAGACAATTCTTAAATTCAAACTATTTGGCAGCAGCCAGTAGCAGCTTCCTCACAAGAAGTTTAATGTGTCTTCATTCAAGCCTTTAAAGGACAGTGGGAATAACTCTGCACAAAGAGAGAAGTATACCAGAAGCGATTCCCACTTAATAATGTTTATAGTTCAAGAGATTTGTTGCATGGGCCATTCAGAAAATAAAATGGACCAGAAGTGTAAGTCAGCCTAATGCTGTGTCATGCTGTAATTCTCTTTCCAGAAGGATCAGCACAATGCTTCGGGGTACACAACCTCTTCTGAACGCGCGCCCAGGAACTCTCAGCTCCTTCAGGGTAATCTGTGCCCCTGAGATGGGAGCAGAGTATTTGAGTTTTCAAACCAGTGACAAATTATTCTTTTTTTTTTTTTTTTTTTTTTTTTTTTTCTGGTTTTGATTCTATTTTCAGCCTGGGATTGGATACAAGTCAAGATGGAACTGGAGCAAATGTGAAAATTGCTGCAAGGAACTAGAGTTTAGTGAGAAAATAAATGGCATTTCTGAAGAATAAAACCACATCCACCAGTGCCAGGATATCATTCCCACATAGCAGAGCCCTTACAGGCAGAAAAATTGATGTTGGTAATTTACAGCTCATAGCATCATCAACTCTAGTTATAATCACTCAAAATTTATGTCATTGTGGGTGTAAAATTAATCCTTTAAAATAGAACACAACAGTAAAGCTAGAATTAAAAGAAAACTATCATTCAGTCTGCTTGTGACATGCATTTGGACATGTATTGTGCCATGTATTGCACCAAGCAGCTGTGTTTGGTCCCAGAAAACACCCCCTGCACACCCAGGTGCCAGGCATGGTCACCCTGAGCCTTTGGGCTGCGATCCTCATCCCTCTGGCTGCAGCTCCCTGTGCACAACAGGTCGGTGGGATGCGGGCTGCAGTGCGCGTGGTGCAGCTGCGGCCAGAAGCTGCCCTTCTCCTTGCGTTGGCTGCACCCTCCTCAGCATCGCCCATATGGGATGCATGGAGAGCTCTGCTCACCTGCCTCACCACCGCAAACTTTTCACCAAGTTGTGCAGCTGCTTTGGTAGAGAGAGAAGCCCTCCATCCTCTCATCTCTGCCTGTTAAAATAGAGAGGGTTTGGGAAAGCAATTTCAAATGGGTGGTGTCTTTCATTCAGCCATCCAAGTATGTCAGGAAATGTTTAAGAATCACCAGGAAGGTAAAATCACCCTGTGGTGACTCAAGGTCAGACCCCTCCATCCTCCAGCATAACAACTGCAGGAAAATCTCTGAAGACACACTTGGGACAGAAGTTGCAATAACACGTGTTGGAAGGTGCTGGAAGCTGTCCTCCCAGAGCAAGCAGGGGGTCTGGGTTACAATCTGCAATGTAGAGCTCCGCTTGTTAACTTTTTCTCCCCATTGTTTTTCAAAAAGCAGTATTTGCACAGTCACACCACAGCTACATTTGAGAGCAGCACCGCAAGTGATATACGATGCAATTTCCACTGGCTGTACAGCCGTACCCATGCTCACGAATGCACTGTACAGGAGATGCTTGTATGTTCATGCACGCTTTTGCACTACCACTTCTAAGGGCCAGCCTTCTTGCACAGCCCCCTGCTGCTCTGCTCCTTGCTACTGTGCAGCTCCTTCAGCCTGAAGGCTCCTTCCTGCGTCTCACATCAAGGCTCTGCACATCCCAGAGCAGCGCTTGGCAGCCCCTGCTCCTGTTGAATTGAAAGAACATCACCCCTGAGCTCTCTTTGCACATATCTCTGCAGCATCAGATGCACACAGAGCATTTTTATCAGTGGAGATAACAGACAGAAATTTTGACTCAGCGTCTCAATCCCAACTGTTACCAAAGAAAAGAACAAAATTAAGAATCGGCATCAGGAACCTGTAGCACCCTTCAACTTTGCAAGCACTTGGATAGGAACGAATTGCTGCCACATTAAGGCTAAAATGCACATGCTGAGTTACTGTAGGCAAGATCTGTAGTATGTATATTCACACACACTCATGCGTACATTAGTGCTTCCTTACTTAACAGAGATCTTCATAGAATTACGGAATGAAGACATACCTACATCTGTGTAAAAGTATTAGAGATGTTCACTCAAAAATAAAAGTTGTAAGTGCATCGTTACGATTTGCTTTTAAATCTAAAAATAAGGGGAATTACTCTCATGTGACACTAATTGTACAGTCAGTGTCAGTTTTTAACTTCTAACTGAGGTTATTCTTGATTTAGATCAACGGATGTGAGAAAAAGATCAGATTCTGAGTGTCAGACAGATGGCAGCCGGACTTGTTGCAAGAACACATATATTCAGCATCACAGCAAAGCTTCTCAAAAAGATTTTAAAAAGGCACCAAAACAACAAAGCACCTGAAGAGCGATGTGTTGGAGTCAAGAACGAAAAGATGAGAAACAGATTCCTTTCTTGTACCAGGATGGCACCATTGTGACATTTCCAGTGTGAATGCCACTGCCTGATGCCAAAATGTGCAAGGTAGAATGAAGCAGTAGTTACAGTGCCAAGATAATAAAAGGAGTTTGGGAACATTCTGTATCATATGAATCACGTATTGAAATCAACATAAAGAAAGATTGATACAGCGGTAAAAACTGTTACAGTTTTCTGCTGAGGAAACCAATGGTAACCGTTTCTTGGGACATGGAGGTGAGGTGGGATGAAATTTTTGCATTCTGAGCTACAGTTTCCACAGGAGCAGGAAGGAAGGAGGACTCAGACTGACCGAAGTTTTCTCGTATCTCAATTCACAGAACCTGTGTATTTTTTCAAACAAATTCAACAATGAATGAAAGCTGTAAAGCTTTGGTTGTCTTATTGCTTCAGGAGGTAACAGCAGAAGGGAAAATGCAAACACTAAGGTTATCTAAAAATACTGCACTGAGCTACTTCAGAATACTTCCAATATTTCAGGTAACACATGCTCTAATTATACCCCTGCATCATTATCAAATTAAATAGCTTCATTTTTCGGTACTAAAACAAGGCAAGTCACCTGAGATACCATCTATTAATTTCAGCATGACAAGCCCAGGTTCCCAGTGGGGAGGTAACAAATCAATGGGAAAGAGGAGTCTTGGCTGGAAGCGGACGGCTGCCAGCTCGGTCATGCACCGCTAACTTCCCCCATTAGGCAGCCTGGCTGCTCGGATCCAGCCTGTTCGAGCAAGGAAACAGAAAAGAGGAATGAAAAGCAAAGCACACCGACAGCAGATGGTGATGAGACTCAGAATTCATCTCCAAAGCTGAGTAAGAAAAAGCCAAAAGGATACTGCAATGCCACCAAATTCAGCAGATGTGACTGCCATGCAGATTAGGCTACTTGTTGCAGTCTACATTCTATACCTGAGCACATTAAGGTATCTCAGCAAGCAGCAAGCGTTCCCTTACAGCTGGAACTTCCTGAGGAAAATGTGGTGATGGTCACAGAGACAGTACTGTAACAGTGCTGGAGAACGAGCTCCTCTTGCACACGCAACCAGCGCAGCTCCGGAGCTGCTGACTGCAGTCACCCACAGCAGTGCCTGCACACCTCACACGTTCAGCACCAATTCTGTTCTTTGTGGCATACGCACTGCTTCGCTGCCTCTCAGCTACAGGTGCAGCTGGAGACAAAGCCATCAATCACAGACCACAAAGCACTCTCAGACTGCTCTCTCTACAATGCCAGCGCATCGGAGAGGCACAGAGAAATCTGTTGCTGCAATATTTCTGAGCGGAACACAAAAACTTTCTTTTCACCTTGTTCAGAAAGGAAAAGCCCTACAAAAAAAAACTGCCAATGCAAGAAGTTCACATCTCCTCTGTGGTAAAGAACGAGCATACTAAGCATATACAGACGTGCATAACTTTTCCTACAGAATTTCTGCTAACACCAGCTGGCAATAAGCACTTTTGACATCAGATCCTAATGCCGAGAACTCGGCTGGAAGAGCGGAGCGGGGCAGCGTGTGCCTCCCGCCGCGGCTGCCGAGCCCTGTGCCGCATCCCGCCGCCCGAGCGGGCCGGGCAGAGGCCGGGGAGCTCCGCACATCGCGCCGGGGCTCGGGCGCGGAGCCTGCCCTGAGGAACAGCCGCCAGGAACAGCGCGTGAGGAGGCCGGGCGGACGCGGAGCACTCACCGCGGGGGCCGTCAGGCGGCGGATGCTCTCGCCCAGCGAGTCCAGGTTGACCCGCCGACGGCGCGGAGCGCGGCGAGCCCCGGCGTTGGCCGCGGCGACTGCGGCGGCGGCGGCGGCGGCGAGGGGTGGCTCGGCGGGGCCAGGAGGGCTGCGGCTGCCGTTCCAGCACAGGCGGGACAGCGGGCACTCGCCCTCCTCCTCGGGGCTGGTCTCCGGACAGTCGGAGCCCAGCGAGCTGAAGGACTCGGAGGAGATCTTGCGGCGGGACATGGTGCCGCGGGCCGGCGGGACTCAGCGCAGCGGCGGGCAGCGCGGGGCCGCGGGGCCGCGAGGGCGGCCGCCTCGCATGGCCGCGGAGCCCCTCGGCGGGGGGCGGCGGCGGAGGCGCCCCGGGGCCGTTCTCGGCTCCGCGCTTCGCCGCGCCGCTCCGAGCCGCGGGTGCTCGCTGGGAGGCTTTAAAGCGGCGGCGGCGGCTGCCCTCCTCTGCCTCGGCCGCCCTCCCTCGCTCTCCCCTCCCCCGGCTCCCTCGCTGCTTCGCGGGAATCACGTGTTGTTTGGAGCCCTTTCCTCCTCCTCCTCCTCCTCCCGCCTCTCCCCTCCCCGCTCGCCGCCTCTCGCACGCCGCGGCCCGGCAGCACCCCCCCTCCCTGACCGCGCTGCTCCGCGCTGCTCCGCGCTCCCTCCCCGCGCTACGGGGATGTCCCCGCTCTACGGCGGTGTCCCCGCGCTACGAGGGTGTCCCCGCACCGCTCCGGCCCTGCCCGGCCCCGCCGCCTCCGGGCCCGCGGCGGTGCTGGACAGCTCCCTGAGCCCGGGCTACCGGGAAGGGCGGCCCTGAGAGCCCGCCGCCGGAGAGCTTCACCGAACGGCACCGCTCAACCTCGGGGAAATGGATGGTGTTAAAAATAGGAGAATGCTAAAGGGCTGCCGTCAGTTTGCAGAGGAAAAAGTTCTTTTCGGGTCTGACGTTGTGGGTCACATCCAAGAAAAGGAACTGAACGCATTCTCTGTGTTACAATCCAGCTAAAGGAAAAAGGAGTGCGGGAAACAAAGCAGAGGAGTTTGGATGTAGGATGACACCCATAAGGCAGTGTCAGGGCTCTCTTTTCCCAGCCCTCCCTGCCCACACATCTGGGGTGAAGGAAGCGTGAGAGTACCATGGCAGCATGGATAGACACATGTACTGCAGAAAGACCAAAGGAAAGGTGCCCTCGGTGGTAGTGCTTCATCCAGCCATCAGGAAAGAAACTTGTCATTAATTCATCTTCTGTCAAACAAAGCTGTCTTTAAAAGCGATCCTTTTAGGATTGTTCTTCCCCTACCTGCCTCCTGTGTTATAGTATACATTTTACCACCTCATCCACTGAAATATCTGAGTGCAGCCTTGATGAAAACCCACCTGAGAGACTGGGAAGACACCCACAGGCCTGGAGCAGCTTTGGGGGATGTCCCAAGGCAGTCCACACTGCACACCCACGTTTGGAAGGCCAGGCAGGCGGCTCTCAGAGAGGACAAGGCTTAAATCACAGATTTCACCAGGGCATTCCTTTCAGAGCCACCATCTCTCGGCTCACCGGGTTTCTGTTTCAATTTTCTTATTTATCTAGAAATTTATAGAGGAAGAGAAACAATGGAGCTCCTTTTGTCATGGCACAGTTCTTAAATCTCTGCAGCTTGAAGCCTGTGGCTTGAAAGGATGTATCAAAAAGCCAGGGTGGTCCATGCTGCCTTCTGTTGTCTTATAAATAGTACACTTGGGATGCAGAATGACTTTCTTTTGCAGCCCTGGTAATTCCTTCAGCAGCACTAGGGCGGGAATCTGAGATGTCTTTGCTTGAAAGTTAATTCACACATGAGCCTCCTCTGTCTTTCCTCCTCTCTTGTGAATAACAATATACTTTAGTACATAGAGCACAGAGAGAAGTCAGGGGGCACGGTTTTAAATTAAGACAGGGGAGGGTTAGGTTAGATATTAGGAGGAAGTTTTTCACGCAGTGAGGGGTGACACAGTGGAACAGGTTGCCCAAGGAAGTTGTGGATGCCCCATCTCTGGAAGCATTCAGGGCAAGGCTGGATGTGGCTCTGGGCAGCCTGGTTTGGGGGTTGGCAACCCTGCACATAGCAGGGGGTTGAAACTCGATGATCATTGTAGTCCTTTTCAACCCAGGCCATTCTATGATTCTGTGATTCTGTGATTTTCCCTTCTTCCCTCTACAGAAATGTTCACTTTGACAGATGCTGTGCAGCCCACCTGCCCTCTGTCCCAGCTCCAGCCACTGGGGGCAGTCACTCGTTTAGGCTGACATTTTTTAGAGCTGACATACAATCATACAACCATTAAGGTTGGAAAAAAAACACTAAGATCATCTTGTCCAACCATCAACCCATCACTACCATTGTGACTATTCATATGAGCACAGGGTGCTCTGAGTTAAGGTGCTGACATCCTCCAGATGCTTCAGGTTCCATTACACTTATTTCTTTCTCATAGACTGTATTGCACAGTCCACAGCGAGGCAAACTTCTGCTAGTTCTTGGCAGATGCAGAGGCAGCGACAACTGAGGAAGATGCACAAAGCTCAGGGTTGGAAATGCAGATGCGTATTTATGATTGTAAACTGCTGCAATACCAAAGTATCAAGTGGTTCCTTATCCAGCACTTCAGGATTAGGGAAGCAACATGGTTATGGGTGCTTTTGCATTTTATTCAGCCACGGGGAAGAATGCTTTTGAGAAGACAAAGCTGATATTTTTAACCATCCCATTTCTACTTTTTCTGGGAGTAAAGTTTAAAGTAGTATTTCCTGAGGCAATTTGTCATTGGTGTGTGACAGCATCCAGAGTCCCCTTTGCAGTATTACTGATGACTTCCCTCACAACACTCATGGCCATATCACTTTTACATCTGTGATGTAGTGACCCTGAAATGCTTTTCTTTGGTGGCTGTTCCTGATGTGGGGATTATTATAACCAAGTGCACTCAAGTACCAAATCAATTCATTGCGAGAATATAAAAGACATTTCCCTTCTGCATCTGGATACTGACCTTCACCATTCAGTGTAAAAAATGCAATTATGGCTCCAAGACTTCTGTTGTTCAAGCTGGAGCAGTGCTGTGAGTAAGCCTGGACTCAGTGTTGCTCCTCACTGGCTGTTTTGCTCAGCCTTAGCCTATGGAACCTGTGGAAGCAGGCCTAACACCTACCTGCTCTATCACAAGGATTGGTAATCTGTGTGCTGCAACACTGTTTGGGATTCATGATATAAAAATACATGGAATTAGTTAGAGTCACCAGCTAGAAAAGTGCCAATCTCCAGAAGTCTTGCACTAAGTACAGGCAGCAGGAGATCCTGGGTGTTGTAAGGCCAGGAGGTCCCACAAGTCATTGAGAGCCTGAATCATTTTTCTCCTTCTATTTCCTCTGATCAAGATACAACCTTGGCAAAAGCTAAATACCACAGAGGGCTGCTTCATCAGATAGGCAAATGCTTTTGACAGCACGTAGACATAGACAGCTACAGCACATAAGAGAACAAATGTTCTTCTTTTATACATGCCTTATCAGCCTAAATTTGCATTTGGCACACTACTGGATGAATAACAGACATGTCTGTAAAATGTATAACGTTCATCTAAGCAGTGCCTACAAAACTTTTCTATCATATTATGACAGAATGCAATTTCTGTGTCCCGCAGGTCTTGCAGGCAGCTCAAAGAAAAACATGGATATTTTTAATTCCTGTGCAATTATTACCAGACAATTGCTGGTCTAAGATCTTTTTTACAAATTTTTACTTGTTTGCTCCCAGTTATAGAAAGGAAAACTCACAAGACTGTGTTCAAGCCTGACATAAAATGCATGGTCGTTAATTTCCATTAATTGTAGTGTGATATCATTATTTATTCATTAGTTTTATTTGTTATTAAGTAAGCATTTCTAACCTGGTATTACATGCTGCATTTTTTTATATCACTTCTATTTTCAAATGCTGTATTTCTGCTGTTCAAATGGCCACGGATGATTAAAATAACCAAAACAACTTCATCATAGCACATTTCATTGTCCTATTTGTTAAGGAAACACATAGCAGAACTGACGGAAGAAATTATTAAACAAATCCCACATAGGGATTAGTCGCATCTACCACATACATCACTTAAATAGTTCCTATCATTTCACCTAGGACATTATATGTCTTTTTATACTAATCTTTTTATAATGCTGTTGAACATACAAATACTTAATTTTACTTTAATAGAAAAGATTGCTGTCCTGAGATCAATGTCTCCCGCTGAGAAAGTAAACATCTGTTTTGCAAAGCATTTTTAAAGCAGCAGGAGACCATTATCCTGTGACAACATTCTATTACAATTACTTTATTGCAGTCAGGCAAAATGAGTGATGTGCAGCAAATTTATTCTTTTTTCACATCCTGCCAAACCTTTCTGTTCTTTATCCAATGACTTCCATCTGGAGTATTGCCTGGAAGGACGGCTGGGGCCTTCTGCCATTTGTCATTAATGATCTGTTGAATTACGATTGGTTTGAAGAACAAATCCGTTTTATGTTTCAGCTTCTCAGAAATAAAGTTTAGCTGCAAGGCACAGTGGATTCACATTGGTCAGTGCTGATGTTCTGGTAGTCAGGTATATTTGAGTCCATCAGGTGTGTTACTGTCCTGTTTTCAGCTGGGACAGTTGTTGTTTTTTTTACTTTCATATTTGCTGGTATGATGTTGTGTTTTTACTATGGGAAAAAAACAGTATTGATAACACACCGATATTTTAGTTCTTGCCAGCAGTGGCTGCACAGAACCAAGAACATTATGACTTCTCATACTGACCCTCCAGCCAGGAGCTGGGGGCATGAGGAGCTGGGAGCGCACAGAATGAGGACAGCTGACCCAACCTGGCCAAAGGGACACTCCAGAGCACATGACATCATGTGACAAACGATTTTAAAACTGTGTGCAGGCACTGTTTGGGGAAAGGCTGGGCATCCATCAGCAGGTGGTGAGCAATTTCTTTGTGCATCACTTGGTTTGTAAATGTGTACTATAATATTACTGTTACTATTATTCTCCTTTTCTCTGCGTTTTCTATGTTAGTAAATAGTTTTTATTGCAACCTATCACTTAGTTCCACTTTGTTGGGTTTTTTTTGATTCTCTGCCCCGTCCCACTGGGAGAGAAGGAGTGAATTGTGTTATGCTGAGCAGCTGCAGGTTAAACCACAGCGGTTACTGAAGGAGTACTTAATTAATTTTACA